TTTCTCTAAGAACCATAACACAAGTTGTGTGCAGAATGCCCGGACATTGTCACAGGCACCACTGACAAGCTGCCCCTGGTCTTCTAACTTCTTGTTAAGTATATTCAGCTCCTGTGTAATGCCAACTAGAACAGCCAAGTTCATGAGCCTTTTGGGATCACTTAGTACAGGAACAACCACCCCACCCTTTTCCATGAAGGCGTTGAATGTTAGTAAGTGTTCAAAGAGTAAGCAGGCAATATTTATGAATTATCGATGCGAAGGAATATGCTTTTATTATAATAATCAGTATTATAAGGAGAATGAATTTTGATTTTTATCATAGAAAGGCCTTTTAAGTAGCCCTATTTTTAAAGTGACTAAGCTGACAGGCTCGGAATTTCCCTCACTCCTAAACTCTATCGGCAATTTTTAATAGAATTATTTGATACTGTGTCAGATTGCTAGGATTTACGCAATTACGTTTGTTAATTATACACTAACTGACTTTTTAAAACCACACTTTGGCCATGTTTTCCTCATAAAATGCTATAAAATAAGAATTTCTAGTTCGATTTTAAAATGGTTTTTACCACTATAATCAACGTCCGAATATTTATAAACATAATAAATAGGAATTAGACAAGTCGGTAATTTGTGACTGAAATCGTCAGAATTTATTTTAAATTGACAAATTAAATTGGGGACGTCCGGTAAACCGAAAACGCTGCGTTAAAGCGTTCGCAGTCCACTCTCCCTAAGACTCTGGGTAATTTTGCTTCCACTCTGGAGGATTGGTGTTGCGTTACCACCCCCAACACCCACGGAGTCTTTCGGTCGGGACGAAAGCTGGGACGAAACGGTCGCCTAGGAGGGGCTTTCTCACGGCCGCGTAGTTAAAATCATCGGCTGGGCTTTACCCGCCACCCCACCTCATTCTCATTAACGACATCAAGTAATCATGTTATTGCGTTAATTCCGTTGCATTAGAAGTCATGCAAGCGGGCCGGGTTTTTGGCTTCGGCGGGCCATGTGAAACTTCCCAGAAGTAGGTTTATACTCATTCAACGTGGATTCAAAAGCGCTGTGAAGATTACTATTTATTGAAATAATGTTTGAATTTGTATCATTTAGAAGTTAGTCTCACTTTTTAGTATTTATAACGTATTGAAACTGTTTTTTTAAAAACTGAATTCATCACATATTTTGTCCCAAGTTTCTAGTTTTCTGTTGTTTTTATTTGCCACAGTTTCAAGTACTCCCCAATGATTTCGTGAAGTCTGTCATGTGCTACTTAACCATGCATTCGTTGGTGTGCTCTTCTGTCGCCACTTCAGTTTCAAGTACGAGTCTTACACAGATAAAAACCAACAGTATTTTTGTAACCCTAGCCGCCCTCTTACTTTCTTATGTTTGGTTTCCATCCTGCCCAGGAATTAAACTGTGATTTATAAAGAAGATGGATTGTTGAATTTTATTTCTATCTGTGTCTTGTTAAGGTTTTATATTTTTTCGTTTATGTTCCAGAAACACAAGGGTTAAAATTTTAGCCTAAAACAGCCGTACCATTTAGAAGTACTCTTCTCTCTACAACCCACCTCATGAACCTATCGTTCATCGTCCCTTATAAACGTTTTCACATCGTTGTTTTCCCCCGCAATGTTAGTTTATTTTAGACCATTACTTAGACACTAACAATATCCCGTTAAAGCAATGTGTGGCCTCAATGCGTGAACTTCCCATCCACTAAAGTTACTTGACAAAACCTATAGTGAAGTCATGCATTTTTTAACATTCCAGTTAGCAGAGGCGTAGTGAGGGGGTGCAGGGGAGACAGATGTCCCCGGGCGCCAGGTAGTTAGGGGCGTCAAAATGTGCTTTGATATTATTTTATTGATCAAAATAATGGGTTTGAGAGTTGAAAAAAAGAAAAAGGGGGCCCTTTAAAATGGATCTTGTCCCCGGGCGCCAAACACCCTCGCTACGCCTCTGCCAGTTAGTGACAGTGCGCCACCGCCCAGAACTTTATTAATATTTGTGTGTGCCACGCCCTTTCACACAGCATATTTATCACTCCAAATCTATCCTCAAAACAAAAGAAAATACAACGCACTTGCAGAATGTTAAAACATCTGCTTTAGTGAAATTATCGGGAAATCTATTTAATGAAATCCTTGCCATCTCGTAGCGTTGGTTATATTTTACCAAGTGAATTTTGTATTTAGGTCAGGGGTCTCAAACTAAAATCTTCCGCGGGACACATTAGATAGAGTCTGAGTTAGACTGGGCCGCATCAATTATTCCACAAAAAAAGCGATTAAAAATTCAACTGTTACAATCTGCTCTAACTTTATTAATAACAAAAGGGTTCTAGCGAACTAAGGCTTCACTTTATTCCTCGATTTCATTGTTGCCAGTCCCTGATTATCTTGGGCAGGAATGAGCAGCTGCTATACTGGCTTCTTGCTGGTATGAGCCTGAATTGCCTGTCATGGCCTCGTCGCTGTCTATGGGGGAGAGGGACGAGTTTCTGTTTAATACTGGAACAGTGGACCAGCCCATTATTTATCTTGTACATCATGGAGAGCCTGGATTGTCGTCGTCGTTCCTCCAATGGTGACCAGCCTAGTGTTTCCAGCAATATTGCCAACACTAGAGGTATTCCTGTAGCGGTTTAGGACAAAGCGTGCTGCTCGTCGCTGGACCGCCTCCAACCTCTCAATGATCTTCTGGGTAAATGGGTCCCAGACTGAAGATACATAAACTAAAATCGGACGGATAAAGGCTTTATATGTCCTTTCTTTCACACAGCAGTTACCAATCTTTAGATTTCGCCTTAAGAACCCTAGGGTCTTGTTTGCTTGGTTACATACATTGTTAATATGCTCGTCCCAGCGGACCTCTCTTTGAATGGTGGCACCCTAGTACTTTACGGAGGAAACTTGCTCAAGTATATGGCCATGCAGTTCGTATTGGTAGTGTAGAGGAGAACAGCTTCTAGAGACTAACACTAACTGCTCAATTAGGTAGTTCATCTTTTATCTTTAACACTAGGGCTTCGACAAGGCAGTGTATCTATCAGCAATAATACTAGCTACTCGATTAAGCTGTGTATCTATCAGCAATAATGCTAGCTACTCAACTAGGTAGTGTATCAGTACTAACACTAGCTACTCCACTAGCTGTGTATCTATCAGCACTAACACTAGCTACTCCACTAGCTGTGTATCTATCAGCACTAACACTAGCTACTCCACTAGCTGTGTATCTATCAGTACTAACACTAGCTACTCCACTAGCTGTGTATCTATCAGTACTAACACTAGCTACTCCACTAGCTGTGTATCTATCAGTACTAACACTAGCTACTCCACTAGACAGTAACGCCATTTACTATCACAATGCTCAATGTGAGGGAACGGGAGAGTAGAAATCGAGAGTGCCGAAGACGGTCGGGCAAATTCAGTATGGAAGAATGCATTTTGGCGCCTATTTGAACTATCGAATTTTAAAAAGATTTCATTTTAATTAGCTTAAAATACATCTCATCGAAACAATTTTAATTTATATGTATTCCTATATTTTTAAAGTAAAATATCATAATAATAATAATAATAAAGTGTATTTCAAAAACAGGCTTCATCCCCAAAGGTTCGAAGCGCGGTACAAGAGTAAAAAAAAAAAAATCTATAATTTACCACATTTAAAACAAACGCAACACTACAAAAACTAATTACAAGCATACAATGTCAAAGTCTTTCAACCCATTTGAACCGTGAGCAACACAGCTAATATGCATTAAATGGAAAATATGGTAGACAATCATCCCAGAAGGTGATTGCGAAATAAATGTGTCTTTAAATCGGTTTTAAAGGACTCCAGTGACTGATTGTTTCTGAGATCGACAGGAAGGGCGTTCCAAATTGTTGGACCAGCAAATGCGAAAGTGCGCTTTCCGCAAGTCTCAAGGCGAACATGTGGTGTCAAGAGTTTGCCATACACTTTATAATTATCACCTAAGCCTACTTTAAAAGTCAGGTTTTATGTTTAAATATCATTTTTGAAAACAAATTGCACTACTTTATACTTTATAACTTTATACAAGCAGAAAGTGTATTAAATTTACATACCTTTATATTGATATAAATTTAGTTTAATACTGTGCTAATAAAGCCTTTAAATTTGTGAAGTTTGAAAAAATAAAAAAATAAAAATACAGATAAATATGGGCACTACAAAATTTAAGATTTTAGCTTATGATCATAAGCTGCAATTTTTTGGCCCAGTACGATATATTTAATCGAAAAATTTAAACCTCTAACAAGGTTAGCGTAAATATTCGGAGAATCTAATATATTTTGTGTATTGATATTTCAAGGTTCCACTAATTGTAATCGGTTCAAAGCACCAGTTGCTATTGCTTTTAAAATGACAATTTTTGCGCTCATTTTAATAAAAAATATAATTACTTGTGCGCATTTTTCGTCGTAAGGGTGGAGCTTAACTTGCTACGGGGTTGGGGGGGGGAGTGCCCACTTTCCCCGGAATGAAACAAGGATTACTGGGATCACGAAAGGTCAAATTAAAATAAACAACTCCTTGCACTTCACTGATGTTTAAATAGACACATGATGCCTAATATAAACCTAAAAATCACCATTCTTTACTCATATAAAGTTTGCTTAATTGCATTAAATATGCAATTTAATAACACATACGTTTTGATAAATGCTATTTGTACTAAGCAGTCTATTATAGATATGATAAATAATACATTTAAACCCCCCAAAATTACTGTTAAATCCGAGACAGAATATCAAGACAGCAGGGAAGTCCGGATAGCTCCGCTAAACCAGGGCAATGGATAAGCCAACTATAATGCAACTTCTAAATGTTCCCTCTCCATCATTACGACCCACTCAATGCACACACCTCAAATCGGTCACCGTGTTAAATTTTAGGGAATAATCAACACAGCCACGTGTCTGTTAATATACATCCGTGTTTAGTTAGGCGTGGACCAGTTGGGAGAATAGCGTGTCAGCAGTTACATGAAATATGCACTAGTTTCCTAGCCTTCCTGCAGAGTACATTACAGAAATGGATCAAGCTGTTATTAAAGGTAGGACGTCGTTTTCATCCTAAGTTTGTGTTTTCAATATGAAGTTGTTTTGTTTTACTCTCCAGCTTAAATGAACAAATGAAATGTTTTAAATCTATCTGCAAATATTCATTTCTCTAGCAGTAAATTATTATTATATGAATTACATAATTTTTTGTTAAGTTGACGAAAGCTTGATGATTTGCCATAGGCATAATTTGTATAGTAAGTAAAAATAATATCAAGCTTCGTGTAATGGAAGCAGTGGTGTAGCTAGCGTAAGTGTCACCCGGTGTGGTTCGCACCCCTTGCAGCCCACTAGCTACGCCACTGAATGGAAGTTCGATTTTATTTTAGCGTCAGTGAAATTATTCAGTTATCATAAATCATTAATTGAGTTTTACGGTAAAACATACATTTACTGGAATTATCTCAGAATTAAATAATATTGTTTAATCAATGACTGAGTCGCTGTGTCAACTGGTTGCGGAATGTATTTATGTAGTCATTTGTTTCAACTGCTCCATTTCATTATCTATTCCAGCTTATTCTTAACTTACAGAGTATAAGAATTCATCATTTTATTCAATGCTTCAGTTCAGGAAACAGAACCAATTCCAAATGTTGTTTACTCTGTTGTATATTTCCTTGAATTTTCTGACACCAACAAAAGGTCTTCCATGCAAAGTAACAAAAAACAGTGGAACCTTAGAGACTTTAACAATCATCAGTTTTAACAACAAATGTTATCTATTTGGCAAGGAAAAAGTATCATATGACAATGCTTACTATTTCTGTAGTAGAAATGAAGGAGTTTTGACAGATGTTGTTGTCGGTTTTGGAACTTTAATTGAGGTACTTATAAATGTTACGTATGATGCACTTTATGGACTTTTATTTCTTGTCATAGCCACTTTAGGACAGGATATTTTATCAATTATCACTCGGTTAATCATTTCAAACTACTGTTTAACAATAAAATATTTGATTTCCATATTTACGTTTATGGTATTATGACAATCTCTAATATTTGATATGGAATGGCTTTACAACAGTCACTCTAATATTTGATATGGAATGTCTTTACAACAGTCTCTCTATTTGATATGGAATGGCTTTACAGCAGTCTCTCTAATTTGATATGGAATCGCTTTACAACAGTCTCTCTACTATTTGATATGGAATGCCTATTACAACAGTCTCTCTAATATTTGATATGGAATGGCTTTACAGCAGTCTCTCTAATATTTGATATGGAATGGCTTTACAACAGTCTCTCTAATATTTGATTTTGAATGGCTTTACAACAGTCTCTCTAATATTTGATATGGAATGGCTTTACAGCAGTCTCTCTAATATTTGATATGGAATGGCTTTACAGCAGTCTCTCTAATATTTGATATGGAATGGCTTTACAGCAGTCTCTCTAATATTTGATATGGAATGGCTTTAGAGCATTCTCTCTAATATTTGATATGGAATGGCTTTACAGCAGTCTCTCTAATATTTGATTTTGAATGGCTTTACAACAGTCTCTCTAATATTTGATATGGAATGGCTTTACAGCAGTCTCTCTAATATTTGATATGGAATGGCTTTACAGCAGTCTCTCTAATATTTGATATGGAATGGCTTTACAGCAGTCTCTCTAATATTTGATATGGAATGGCTTTAGAGCATTCTCTCTAATATTTGATATGGAATGGCTTTACAGCAGTCTCTCTAATATTTGATATGGAATGGCTTTAAAGCGGTCTCTCTAATATTTGATATGGAATGGCTTTACAGCAGTCTCTCTAATATTTGATATGGAATGGCTTTAGAGCATTCTCTCTAATATTTGATATGGAATGGCTTTACAGCAGTCTCTCTAATATTTGATATGGAATGGCTTTACAGCAGTTTCTCTAATATTTGATATGGAATCGCTTTACAACAGTCTCTCTAATATTTGATTTTGAATGGCTTTACAACAGTCTCTCTAATATTTGATATGGAATGGCTTTACAGCAGTCTCTCTAATATTTGATATGGAATGGCTTTACAGCAGTCTCTCTAATATTTGATATGGAATGGCTTTACAGCAGTCTCTCTAATATTTGATATGGAATGGCTTTAGAGCATTCTCTCTAATATTTGATATGGAATGGCTTTACAGCAGTCTCTCTAATATTTGATATGGAATGGCTTTAAAGCAGTCTCTCTAATATTTGATATGGAATGGCTTTACAGCAGTCTCTCTAATATTTGATATGGAATGGCTTTAGAGCATTCTCTCTAATATTTGATATGGAATGGCTTTACAGCAGTCTCTCTAATATTTGATATGGAATGGCTTTAAAGCGGTCTCTCTAATATTTGATATGGAATAGCTTTACAACAGTCTCTCAAACATTTCATTTCCATATTTACGTTAAAGGCTTTACAACAGTCTCTCAAACTTTTGATGAACAAGAAACATGTGATGGAAAGTGTTATCGAACGCTTTAAAACTGGGGTGGGCGACCCGCGTCCAGTATTGCGGCCCGATTATGCCGGATTCATTACAAAAAAAACGCATTTGTTGTTATTTGAATTGAACAAGTAATCGATGTTAAAAAGATGAGTGATATACAAGATAAAACGATATGACAATAGTTGAGATGTAGTCTGTTTTTTAAATGTAGCATTTCATTATATAAACATTTCTACAAAACATTTAGTGTGAGTTTATATTGATGTTTTCATATTAAGTGTAATGGTATGGGGCCCACAAAGTCTCTACTCACTCTCAAAGATGTATGTTAAGAATTATGAGCTGACCACCACTGCTTTAAATATTTTTGTTTTTTATTTCAATCAAAAATATATTTCTTAAACTTATATTAAAGGTAGATTATTAGGTTTTTCAGCATATGAACAAACGATTGAAAACAAATTATAAATCAAATGAAATTTTTTTATTGTGATAAATTCACAGCAAGCTCTTAACGAATCAAGCACGCTAGAAGCTGATTACTGGATTGGTTTATTCTGGACAAGCATTTGGAGTGAATATATTTGGGCCAGTGGTAAGATCCAAATTACTGAATGCGGGAAATGTCATGCTAGGAAACATACAAATTTAAGATAAACGAGAACGCTGTCTGAAAGAAACGGTCATCTGAAAGGACATGTAGGATGAATGGATAAATGGATGGAGTGGTTGATGGATTTATTAAGTTTGAATGGATTAATAATAAAGTTTATATCAAAAACACGATTCATCCCCAAAGGCTTGAAGCGCGGTACAAAGTCAACAAAAAACAAATCTCTAATTTACCACATTTAAAACAAAGGCAACACTACAAAAACTAAATACAATCATACAATGTCAAAGTCTTTCAACCCATTTCAACCCTAAACAACACAGCCTATATGCATTAACTGGAAAATATGGTAGACAATCATCCCAGAAGGTCTTTGCGAAATAGATGTGTCTTTAAATCTGTTTTAAAGGACTCCAGTGTCTGATTGTTTCTGAGATCGACTGGAAGGGCGTTCCAAATTGTTGGACCAACAAATGCGAAGTGCGCTTTCCTTAAGTCTCAAGGTGAACACGTGGTGTCGAGAGTTTGCCACTATCGGATAAGCGGAGTTGTCTAGTGCGTACATAAGGCGTCAGCAGCTCTTTCAGATAGGACGGCGCCAGGTCATGTAAGCAGCGGTAGTACAAAGTTGCGATTTTTTACTCTATGCGAGCACGGACAGGCAGCCAGTGCAACTCTCTCAGAAGTGGTTTTGCATGGTCGAACTTGCGTTTGCGAAGAACAATGCGAGCCGCATTATTTGTGCTCTTTGAATTTTATCCAGGAGCGTAGCTGGAAGACCCACCATGAGAGCATTGCAATTGTCCATGCGTGATAGCACAAATGCAGATATCAGCCTCTTTGTTTCATCAATTGTTAGGAAGGGCCTGATGTGACTAATCCTGCGCAGCTCCAGAAAAATCGCCTTGCATAGCATGTTAGTATGACTTTCCATAGTTAGTCTTCTATCTAGGTAAACACCCAGGTACCGCACTGTTTGAGCAAACTCAATACGCACACCTGAGAGAGCAATTGGTGTGTTATTTGCAGATGTTTGCTTCTGAGCGGCCGCGATAGGGATCAGCTCAGTCCTCTCATCATTCAATTTGAGCTTGTTTATGGTCATCCAGTGCTTAACTGACTCCACTGTCTTCTGTGTCATACTGAGCAGCTGAGGTAACTGAGAGGGGATCACGGATTGATGAAGTTGGGTGTCGTCAGCGAACATGTGATACGGCATGTCAAATTGCTTGATGACTGCACCCAGTGGCTGAATGTACATCGTGAAAAGCACCGGGCCTAGGACCGAGCCCTGGGGTACTCCGAATTCGATATTAGATTTCTTCGAGTTCAAGCCGTTTGAAATAATTGACTGGACCCGATAAGTCAGATACGATTGAACCAACACAGGACGGTATCAGTGAGACCCAAAGTTTTTTGCAGACGCTGGAGCAGTATGCTGGGTTCGAGCGTATCGAAAGCTGCCGATAAATCGAGTAAAGACAAAATCGATACCTGGCCCTCATAACAAGATGGCAGAAGGTCATTTACGACGCGCAACAGGGCTGTCTCAGTAGAGTGATGCGCCCTATCTGCTGACTGGAAAGGTTCGAACAAGTCATATTGTATGAGGTGATCCAGGAGTTGTCGGAGAACGACTTTTTCTAAGATTTTGGATATAAATGGTAGATTTAAGATGGGGCGATAATTTTCCATCACATTTGGGTCAAGATTTGATTTCTTTAATAATGGAGTGACGATCGCCTCTTTAAAAGATGATGGAACAATACCTGTAGCTAAGGACTGATATATGATACAAGTGATGATGAGGACTATTTCATCCAGACATTCATACAAGAGCCCTGCTGGAAGAGGGCCAAGCGAACATGATTTTCTTGGGGTATCAGCAAGGATTTTCCTCACATTCGATTCACTGAACTCAGCAAAGTCACCCATTGAAGAGCCGTTGAAGAGTGAGAATTCTGGAGCAGTATTGATGCAACTGTCAAGTTTCACCCTGATCCTCTTAACTTTTGCAATAAAGTAGTCATTTAAACTGTCTAGCAGCTCTTCTACAGCAATGTTTCTTGGCAGAGATGTAGACTTGTTTTTACCGGCCAGCTGACCCACAATGCGAAATAAGTCCTTGCTTGAGCTGCTGTCTTTAATCTGATGACTAAAATGCTCTGTCCTAGCTGCAAGGACCAAATTTTTGGTTCCTTCCCTTTGGTTTACAAAGATTTGTCGTTGCACGGTCAAGCCCAATTTCCGCCATTGGCGTTCTGCACGTCGCTGCTTCTGCTTCCCTTCCTTAATTTTGGGCGTTAACCATGGGGCGGAAGGGCAGTCCGTAACGCGCCGTGTGGACAGTGGTGCATGTTTGTCTAAAATGACTCGGAGGCCACTGTTGTAGTCTGTAGCATGGTCTTTTTCCCTGCACCTGAGGGCGGCGACGTCGCATCTGAAGACCACTAGATCAATTTTTTTCGCTGGTCACGAGATGTGACTGTGCGCAGAGGGCGCCCTGGATTCTTCAAGTCAAGGTCAAAGAATATGGGAAAGTGATCAGAGATCATTTTATCTTCAATAAGGAGGTTGCGGATGACGGCTGAGCGGTCCTCTCTGACGACAAGTCAATCCAGGATGTGACCCCTCTTCTGTGTCGGGACACAAACAAACAGGATCACAATGTATGTCTCAAGAGATTATTGCAGAGTCTTCACATAGCTGTCAGTGGTGGATTCAACGTGGCAATTGGAATCACCTATTATGATGACGTTGCTATTTGTAGAGGCGTACGTGTCTAGGAGCTGTATAAACTCAGCAGTAAACTGGGAGGCCTTTCACTTATTTCGCTTATTGAGAGGTGGCCTGTATATGCACAGAAGCGTAATAGCTTGGTCACAATAATTAAGTAGCATCTTGCAAATCTCAAATGAAACAAACTGTTCCGATTTTGAGAACGCCACACTATTCTTGAGGGAGCTTCTGTAAAGAACAGTAATACCTCGGCCACCATGAGACAGTCTTGGGCAGGAATGAAGGAGATAGTCCGGAGGTGTAATTCTTGCAGCTTGACCTCATCTCCTACCTGCTTAAACCACGTCCCCGTAATAAAGGTCGGCCTTGCTCTCTAAAATAAGATCACACACCTCAAATGTCTTGTTCCTGCATGAGTGGGCGTTAAAATACAGCACCCCGAAGTGCCGTGATTGCGGCACCAGAAAAGGCCTACAGTCGACGGCTACTAGATTTGATTTCGTGGTGGTGCGAAATCATTGGCCACTGGCTTTGACATTAGGGAACGGGTAAGATCGATGACACAGTAGCTGGCTGATTTCCGTCGTCCTCCTCGTTACTGAAAGCTTCATCAAAAGGCTCGTCATAACGATCACCACCAGCAAATATTGACACTGCAGTCGCCGTGGTGGTATTTCATTGGACGCTGTTTACGACGACCAGCTCGATAGAGACGCGTCTTCTTTCGCCATGTACCTATTGGCTTAATTGATACTTGTTGTGTCGCGCAGTTTAAGCCAAGCTGTAACAGTTTTTCAATCACTTGTAAACACTGGGGGTCGACATAAGCCGTGTAAAAGAGCAGTAGTTGAGCCTTGGTATAGCGCAGACTGAGAGGCCTGAAATAGTCTGGATGTATAACTGCGTCTCTATAGTATTTACTCATAGGTCTGTCTTTGATATTTCTATCCTGAGTGGAAGCTCACTAGAAAGGGACACACATGCCGTACTGTCAACACTGTGTTCACTGGCCTATTTGCATAATAAAAAAACAAACACCAGCAGATATCTCAGAAATCCATCATCTGATTTTTAAACCGATTATACCACTGCACAGACCAGAACATTCCGAAAATGATGATACCAGAATGTGCACATAAAAATCCATATTGAAACAGAAACTACAAACAACGTGCAATAGTCCATGTTGAAGCCTGTTAGGCGACAGTTGAACACATAACACATGATTGATGGGTTGGTAGATAGATGTCAAGAAGGATTGATACAAGATCCAAAGACAGATATGTCTGCAAGAGGAAATATTGTAATATTAATTAATTAGCAAAATAACGAAAATACAAATAATAAACAAGGACATTTTTGATGTAAAAAAAAAAATTAAAAGTAAAAAACAATCATAGTGGTTCTCAAACTTTAAACGTAACAGTCGTTTGAAATTTTTTATGGTTGCAATCGATATCCATCAATACATTTTTTTGACAAACAATTACTTATTATAAAAATTTCAAATATTAGTCATCAGATGTTCATAAAATTGGATGGATGAATTTTTATGCCTGAACTAGTTCTTCTAGATTTGGTGTTGTACCAGTGCAACTCTCATGTCATTTGTCTCTTCGAATCTGTTTCGAGAATTTGTTTTGATGCCAAATAGTTTGTTAAAAGCCACTCATGGATGGTTGCAAATGGAATCAGCACCCTTAAAGTAAACTTCAGAACATCGGGATGGGACTGCGCCATTTTAGTCTACAACATACTACAACATATTTCATGGAAAATATACTTTGCATCCCATCACTTGTCAAATCAATAAACTGTTCTTGAATTAAATTGTCACAAATGCTTATGCTCATCAATATATTTGTTTAGCTTTGGAAAATGGCGCCAAGTTCTTCTGCTGCTACAGATCGAGCTTCATTTTGAAAGCAGTCAACTTTTCATGGCTATGGAGCACTGAGATCGTTTTTTCCCTGCAGCGTCAGTTCGATGGGATTCACGGAATCAAATAAGTCAACCAAAAATGACAGGAAAATAAGAAAACTGACATTAGAGAAATTTTCGCTCTTGTGTCGTTTAGAGACTTGAAAAAATTGCTGCATCTCTTCAAAACTTTTCCTTTGAAATACCACCTACCATGTTTCAAATTTGCAACCATTTTCTTTTCATCTCTCAGAAAACAAACGAGATTTTAGAGCATTCGCTGGTGGTGTTCCCTGCTACATTTAATTCAATGAGAATTATTTGGAACTCACCAGGTATGGTTTTTAACCATTATGGGTTGGCGATGAATAGTGCAGTGTACGTCAATATTGTTTGCGGATTGTAGCTTAACTAAAATTTGAAAACCAGAACGAAAACCAAAATAGCTGGAGAGACGCCAATGACATGTTTCCATTTAATACCATGCCCCTCAAAGAATATGTCGACTTTTTCAAATATTTATTTTGCAGATGCTCTGGTCCTGAGAGTCTCACCAAACTAAAAAAAAAAAAAATCCTCCTAAAGCTTGTCAAAAAAAAATAGTACATAGACGCAAGTTGGGCTACGCTTGCAACATACGACGTTTCATCAAGCAGGATCGCAAAGAAGTTAAAGCTCAAAATATGAATCTTGAAGACCAACTGCGACAGTATGTTATCCTCCTAAAGCTTGTCAAAAAAATATAGTACATAGACGCAAGTTGGGTTTACACTTGCGACATACGACGTTTCATCAAGCAGGATCGCAAAGAAGTTAAAGCTCAAAATATGAATCTTGAAGACCAACTGCGACAGTATGTTATCAGACATTTCCGCCATTCACCCCCTAACCGTATCTTTTGACAGGAAACATACTGCTTAAGTTAACCCATCCCCTCACCCCAGGCTCATTCGATATGACATCTTTGCAGCAAGGCAATAACAAATGTTTTCCGATACTGAAGTGGTTCTTATGTGAAGCTACTTTAGACAAGGCTTAATGTTCTGTGAAAACAGCCAGAATCATCAAGCCTGGATTTGTGCATGTCGTTTACGACGCAGTCCTTGTTTCTTTCGCAGAAGTGCTTCTTTTGCATCTGTTTTTATTTACATTTTTAGGCTTTAGAGAAGTGGATATCAACCAAGAAGAATACACACACCCCCCCCCCCCCCCACACCCCAAAAAAAAATGTGGTTTTGCTTTCCCTCTAGACTTTATTACAGTAAAGCAAAATTTCAAATAGGAAATATCATTTCTCATTAACTTTTTTTGGAGACAATCTAATCTAAAAAAGAAATAGAAAAAACGACTTTTTACATTTTATTTAGAAAATATTAATTTATCATTGTTTAGGTAACAATTAAAAAGTTGATAGTTTTATCTTTAAAAAGTCTTTCTCCCACACGTACTGTAAAATTATGTGAGCATGAAGAGAAGTTTAGAGGCGCGTACTCCATCCAAAACACTCGATCCATTGTATGGTTAGCTCTCAGGTACTAGGAATTGAAACACCAGATGTTCAAATGTGCCAAAGATCTCGAGAAAGCAGTGTGTTCTCCCTCTTTAGTGACTAGACCAAGTCTCACACTGATTAAATTTCTTCTATAATGACAATATTGATTTTAAAAGCCTGGGAATAACGCTGGTAAATTGTGTCACCTTGTTGTCAATTACGAAGGATGTTAGTCTTATGAGTCATTCCTTTCTTTAAAGGTCATTCCTTTCTTTGAAGGTTATTTCTAATGTTTTTAACAGTTAAACAAAAAAAAATACCTTTTTTCAGGTGCTAATTACAACAAGCTGGAGGCATTTAAAAGTGATCTTGTTGGAAAATGTGTTAAATTTTCCTCTTCATCTAAAACGTTTGAAAATGTTCGTTGCGGCCTTGATTATGCACCCATATGTATGTTCTGTAAGTAGCATTATTTTTAAAGAAAGGAATAATTATTATAAAATTTGATTGATCGATGTATCACCACCTCCCAAGCCCGACGTTTTTACTCACAGTGTAAAACTGAAAAATTGCTGCAATACTACGATCATACCCGGCCTCCCGGGGCAATCGATGAATTTGTCAGCCATTCCTGCACACAAACAATTTTCAGCAATTCCTCAAATACCCACACACATACAAATATTTGCAAATACGTGCATATCAAAGGTGGAAAAAGGGGTGATGAAATCTTGAGGGTTTTAATAGCATAGGTCATAGAATCTGTCATATTGAAAAGTTGTTATTTTGTGTTTCTCCCCTGTGAGAAAAATGCTAGACCCACCAATGATTTCGGCAAGTGTTGACAATGGCATAAAGCCAATGACAAATGAAGGCACCCAAAGATATATATTTAAATTTAATATGTTTCATTGTCATATGTCCGTGGAAGCTAAGCTCGGTCTATAATACGGAAAAGAATATTAAAAATAAATTTTTTATTTCAAAAATAAATTATTTAATTTTGACATTCAGCACTCAGGGCTGTGTTTGCAGCAGTAGAGGCCCTGGGCACAGTAATGTACCAAGGTCATTAACCCTGTACATACTCAGCGTCGTGTAAAGGAGGGGTGAGAGGGCCAATAACTCATGGCGCAAATATCAGGGAGCGGCGAAACCGTGTTTAGATAGGTGTTATATATGACATTTTTCCCCGTGCGTGAACTTTGCTTGACCCAAATGAGATTTCTAGCACACGCTACGTTCATAGATGGGCGTGGCTTATCTCTTTGAAGTTCATTAGAGGAGTATACCCCCAAGAGGCATGAGACCCTTATAGCAATGGGCCACGTAGAGGTGTGAGACACTGTGCGTGGAAGAAGTGTTCCAATGCCTTAAGTCGGCACTGCTCTTCTCCCCTAATTTCAATACTGCACTGTCACGTAGCTAGGGTTATTAACAGTTGTTAATAGTTATTACAATTTTCGCTGCACTTGTTTTTCGTATGCAAATTCTGTTCAAAATTATTTATTTATTGCAATTAACTGCAATGCGTGAAAAAGTGTTTCCTTTAAGTCTATTTTTAAATATTTTATATGAATGTTCGTTTGTCTTCGGTTGGCAACAGGTGTTAAATATGTGCAAAATTAATGAAGTTTTATAGATTGGTATATTCATTAAAATGAACCCAACCTCTTCCTCGCTCCTGAACCATATTATCGGTAATCATTAAAATATAATTAGTATAGTTAATAAAGTAATATCTTATCCTCCGATTTTCACGACTAAAAGTCTGATCTTTTTTTAATATCTTTCTTAACATCTCATTAAAACTTTCCATTCCTCTAAATTGTATTTTGCTCAAAATTGAAAAACTAATATTTTAAATCTGTGACGTAATCAGGTTTGGCGATGCACCCCCCCAAATGCACCCCCCCCCCCATTTTACCAAATTTGAATAGCCCTTGAAATTTAAAAACATAAAATGGTACACTAAATTGTTCACTTTAAATTATCTATTTACATAATATTGAAATATGTGTAAATAATGGAAAGTATAACTTTGTTAGCATTCTGCTTTTCAAACTATTTTTTAACGTTAAATCCATGGTTTTCCCTTAATAAATTCCGATTCTTTAGTTGTGAAAATACCTATTGAATTTCAAAGATTTGACGCTTTGTAATGTGAGTGACGTGTTCTTCTTCTTTAACATATTAAGGGAACACGATTAAAATATTGATCTTTCTGGCTCATGTAGGCCCGAAAAAATTGTTCCACATAATCCTGTCACAAAATTGCACACTGCAACACGAGGGAGTTTGTTATGAGTGAAAAAGTTCAGCTTCTAAGCAGTCCAAGAAACTTTGAGCTCCAAAAATATTCAGCTATCGAGGAATAGAATTTAAAGAAAAACTTACAAAATATGCGAGAAATTTCACTGCTGTCTGTTAATAAAATGGCTTTAGAAGTTGTTTTCCGACAGCAATCACTAGCAACGCCGGGAACATTTGCAAGTATACAGATATGGACAGCAAGACTAAGCTGAATACAGATGTCAGGTTTCTGATATGTCAGTGACATAGAAAGATATGATATTGAAAGAAAGAACATCCACGATTAACGAGCTCCACTCAAAGTCAAATTTTAGAAAGAAAAGAGTCAGAAATGTGCACATTTGCTAATACTCACATGTGTTATTACGTGGCATGGCGTTCACATTTTTAATACGATATATCTCTTAGTCTAGAACCTTTTTTCTTCGACAACTTTAGTTTGGATATTTTTACAGCAGATATCAATGATAATGAAACCTCTCGGTGCTCAAATGTGTGCAAGGCTGTCCAGGGTAAATATGGTCAAACTACAACGGCCTTGACCACAACGTTAATAACCCCAAACTCAAGCCTTGAAACGACTACATCACCACTGACCTGGACAACAACTGAAGGAAACACCACAAGTAAGAATTGCAATTATTGCACGGAATGTGATTGTGATAAGGGGCATGAAGCTGCAACGAAAACCCCGTATATTGGACAAGAAGCATCTCTTCCAAGTAAGACAGCGTTACAATTGTTAAGAACTTAAATTTATTGTCTAATTAAAACGTTTGACTAGGATCTTTATGAGGAGTTAAATTATTTAAGTTGTTTTTTTTAAATAGAAAAGATAGTCTTTAATGGACTTTGCAATGATTATGTAAACTAACTTATAATAATAATAATATTATTGCTAGTGACAACCATGGGTAAGTATAGGGCTTTTTTGTCTTAGAATGCACCTAAACGGAATACCATTACCTTTCTTCGATGGATTTGCCAATTAACTTTAGAAAACTTGCAATTGAATCGCTCTGTCGAGATTAGCAGGTCGGGGGGGGGGGGAATGATAAAAACCGCGCATAAGGGCTACTTGTATGTCGAGTCTGATGTACACGTATTTCGTCCTGTCTGGTTGTCATGGCAATGCTCGGCTTATGGCACTACTTCGCTTGTCATTGGTCGTGTAGTCCCACCCCCCCCCAGCTTTTTTTTACACAACTGATGTGTGGGGCTGTGTGTCCAGTGATGATGTGCGAAATTGGAGGAGGAAGAGGGCGCTGAGGGACAGGTCCACCCCGGGCGGAACATATTGCCTATTTTAGAAGCGACATTTAGGTCAACTGCAGAGTTTGTCGTGGGTAAAAATTGGGGGGGGGGGTGCGACAAGAAAAGTTGGACCCACGTCACTCACTCCATGTACGCCGCTGTGAATAATTTATGTATTTAAAAAAATCATTATTGATATAGAAAATTGTAGTACGTACTTCTCAACCAACCATGTTCCTCATACGAAGGCCAGAATATTAGCAGACACAACATCAAAATATACGAACATGATGACGCCAGGAATATTTCTGAATCTGATCTTGAGACAAAAAAGAAATACTAAAATTGACTGGCCAGATAGCTGGAACTATGATAAAAAAATATTTTAATAAGGAGGCCATCCACAAATGACGACGCGCCGTTTGAGTCGATTGCAGATATCCTCTCCCATTTTCACAAATATATCACGTAGGTTTGGACACTCGCATAATAGAACTTCACAAAATCGTGACTCCCTCTCTCAGACCCGCCCCTCCCCCAATGCGTGATTGCTCTTATTTCCTACTGAAAAGCAATGGTCAACAGTTGAGACTTACGTATTTTCGGGTACTACGTAGCTACTCTGTACCATCCTCAACGTTATCTTCCCCAGCCTTTTTTTTTTCATTTTGTAAAAATTAGAAAATCACTTGTAGCATGCGTGATTTGATTCCAATATTTCATGAGTAAAGTGCGAACATTTCAAAAAAGTATGTTCAGTTGACTTGACAATTAAATGAATTGGATCATTAAATAGCTAAACTCGTAACTGCTGCGTTTGTACAACACTCGAAGGAAAAGATGTGGTGTACAGTAAATTTCTACTATCAATAAGTCTGATAGCTCTTTTGAGCCTAAAAAGGGGGTAAATTAACGAATGGTTTACTTTTGCGTGACACACTTACGTCCTCAAGGCAACACACTACTGTGTCGCGACACACATTTTTGAAAGCACGGCACTAAAGAGTGAAGTATGTAAATACTTTGCTGAAAATCCTTCCATCTTCAGGCTTTAGATATATCCCATTTTTAGCAAATGTAACTAAATGTCACAAGTATATAAGGAACCCCGAGAAGACACCGTACTGTTACGAAACTTAGCTTTTAACTTTTGTTAATAATTATGTCAGGCCATTCAATTTGAGATGAGGGCAATGAGTTAAATGATTAAATAACAGCGGTTAACATCAATATAAAGAGTATTTAAATATCAATAATTTTAGTTATTTTCAACCACTGTGTACATGTTCTAATTTATACTACTTAAATGCATTCCACATTCACCTTTGTAGTGGATAGATTAGTGTTGCTCCCAGAATATGTACAGCTTACACAATATAATTTTATTGGGATGATTAATCATTTCTTTAGAAATAAACATTCACCTGTAAAACAAATTGTAATCTGAACGACTTGCGTTTCTTTCATCATTAAAACATATTTTAATATAAAATCTAATAACACAACTATTTTTTCGACAAAACAAATGCAAACAATAGATTGCCCAAAGACTTGCTTTTTTCATTTCTCTTTTTTTTCATTACAGGCACGACTCCACTTGCTGTGTTAGCTGCACTTTTAACAGCTTCCCTACTGGCCAATGCAATCGCTTTTGTCATGTAAGCTTAAAATAGTAGCTTTAATCTTAGCAAATATTTTGTGTATTTACTAACTCAAAGATACAAATTTAATAAAACTGTCATTGAAATGCGTCCGACTCCAGCTTTCACCGCTACTCGCCAGCCAGAACTGACTCTTTTCTTATTTCGAAGTTGGCTGCCTTCGTGTCTTTTTGTACACAGTCGTTGTCACCCAGTACGTCTTGACTCCACAGCAAGTTCTTGGTAGAGCAGGGCCTTTGAATCACGGCCTGCCTTCATTATCTTGTCATTACCTCGCTAAATCTTTAACCAAAAAATCACTGCTCATTGAGAGTCGAGGACATTCTGCTAATTTTGGCAGTCGTCTCCATAATTGGTGTTACGCAGTTTGTCCCGGCATCAAATGCGAAGAATGTGCCGCAGAGATCTTAGGTAGAAGTTGTCGACATTCTGCTCGTGGCTGGAGAATCTGGTCCACAAATTTCTTGAGGATGCTCAGTTTTGTCCTTTCAGTGAGTTTATATTTGTTCCACACCTGTTATTTCAGCCACGACCAATGTTGAACGGCTTGCCATCAGACATGTTGTGAGTGTACGCTCCGTTTTTTTTTTGCAGTATCTGAAGTATAATAAAACATCATGGTGAAAAAGATGGAGACAAGCCATGGTGCAAGTATGCAGCCTAGCTTACTCCACTGCTGATTATGAATCTTTTAGAGACCACGCCATTGACAATAATAGCACTGTGAATGGTTTCGTTGAATTTTCTTATGATTGTTACACAGAGACATGTGAGGAGCATATCTCTAGCAGTCACTGACAAAATTCCTGCATAATCATTTATAACGACTGCTGGTAGTCATTACACCATGGGAAACTCTAGCATTTCACTCTCTTTGGAGGTACAACGCTACAATGTTTGAACCGCTGAATTGGTCTAAACTCTAAAGCCTTGTAAAAAGGGATTTTCTCCTCTGATATAGATTGGAATCATTTACACTTAATATGTTAGCCTTGATGGAGCCTGTTGACATCTGCAGAATCCTCTCAAAACAAGAGGATGTGGTCTCAATTCAAATGATGATGGCCTGCTTAGCAATTTTCTTCTTCTTCTTATATTTGAGGGGCCCACGATCAATTTGTTGATCATTCTGGCTCCCGGTTTGAATTCAGCGTTTGCCTTCTCTTAGATGGGTTGCCGTCCAAGGCTTACGAGTCCCATCCACCCGGGGTGCTGGGATATTGGCTTTGGTGGGGATTGAACTCCAGACCACCAACTATTTGGTTTGAGACAGTTTAGACCGCTCGGCCACCCAGCACCTTTTGGCACCCGGGACATGACGTGCAATTCGAAATTTTAACGCCCCTTTCTGTTAAAAACATTTTCAGATTAATGTTAACTCAATTGTTAAAAATTTGCCGCTGCAGAACACTTTTCAGTGACTATTTCATGCATGGTAGCATAATATGATTAATGGATAGTATTTCTTCACATAATTCAAACCCGTCAATGTCTGATACATTCCGGCATGTCCTAATTATTAATTACACTTTTCTTTTTTCTTTATTTCCTTTTCCTTGGTTTTTGAATTCAAAGTAAGGGCTGCAATTTTTTTTTTTTTTGTGTAAAAAATAATTTCACAATTTTAAACAAATTTGATTTCGGATGTCCAATTATTTAATTTAAATAAATGGCATACCCTTCAGCCACGTTAGTTGTCAAGCGGAAATTCTCCGAGGAGTCTATCAATAGCACAATAATGTTCATTTATAAATATTTATTATTCCATGAATTTAATATTTATTTTTTTAGTTTGGGATAGAATGACGCACATAGGAATTGGCGTCCAGGCAGTTGCCTGCTTTGCCTGTACCAATGGCCGGTCCTGCATATAATCTATAATCAAACTATACAATTATATAGATAATTATTTTATTTTAATTTAGGATGTTTAAACAGGCATACATTGTTGTTCGTCCGTCAACATCGACTAGGACCATCCAGTCATCCGGTTAGGGGAGAGGGTGGGATACGGTGAGTTCGTAGGTGGCTTGCTAGTCCGATCCATGCTGGAAAAAACTCTGGCACCGTGGGCAGGGGATAGTTGCTGCAGTCGGTGCTCTAATGTTGCTCTTTCGGGCTAGCCTACGTGTCTCAGCTGTGGCTATCTACTGGCTTCATGAGATTTAGCTCCCTTCATGACAGCTGATCTCCACCTGGCTCTGCCCTGGGCTGTCTGCACCCCGTCAGTAGGTTTGATGCTGAAGTTCTTTAGTGCCGCTTTCAGTGAGTCGTTGTGACGCTTTTTTTTAACCTCTTAGGAGCGCTTGCCCATCGTGAGTTCTCCGAAGAATATATGTTTAAGGAGACGGTGATCTTCCATACGGGCTACGTGTCTCATCCAACGGAGTTGAGACTGCATCATGGTAGTGAAGATACTAGTTAGGTTCGCTCTAGCGAGTACCTCCGTGTCAGGCATTTTGTCTTGCCACCTGATGCCGAAGAGTTTCCTGAGGCAGGTTGTGAGAAAATGATTTAGTTTCTTGGCGTGACGCTGCTAGACTGTCCAAGTTTCACACTGTGTGCGGATGTTCCGTATGGCAATTTGAAGTGAAATATAGTTGATCTTTGTTGTTGTTTTTTCGACCGCAAAAATTGGGTCCCCGCGACCGCGGTTAGCCGGCTAGGGTTTGAAGGAGCAGGCAATGTTTAGTGCACATTTTCTAGCCCCTTCCTCATGCATTGAGGTGAGCAGTGCTGTCCTGAATAGGGCTGCTCAGACACTCTGGTGGCTGCTGAACTCTACTTCTGCTCCAATGAGTAAAGAGCCTGTGTGCAGGTTTGCGGCTACGACTCCCTGTGCACCACACCTGTTGCTTACCCGTCGCCACAGGACTTGGGGGTGATGGACAGACGTACATATTAATGCATAGTAGACTCGATTATTAAGATGATCAACTAAAATGGGTGGGGGTGGGTGGGTATTAAATTTGTATTTCTTTTAAACATTTGCAACACTTAAGTGTCCTATATAATAAATCAGAGGCAAGGAGGTTGTTTTTTTGTTTTTTTTACAATTTTATATAACATTTTAACCGACGGAGCAAAAAAGACTAAGTACAAGTTTAGTACGCAATGCTATACAGGCTTATTGCCTTAAACTTTAAAAAAAATTAATGAAACATTAGAAAAGTAGTATTTTATGTATTAATGTGGTAGACACAGTTCTGGAATTACAAATTATTTAAATCCTGTTTAATTTTAGGAATTTTTAGCATCTTGACCAGGAATCTTCAATAGTTCAAAGCGTAAATTGTCACGAGGCTTGAGTTTCCATGAACATTTCATATATTTAGCATTAGCTTAAACACCGTGCCGAATTTTAAAAAAAAAAATTAAATAATAATATTGATAAATATTATCATCAATAGAAATAAACCACCAAACAATGGTCTCAGGATGCGCGAACTTATCATATGCTCCAGTCACTTGACAAAACATGCTTTCCAAGAACTCACTTTATGAGAGAATCCAAATTAGTGCCAACTTCTGGGAAGTTTTATTTTGCACGCTTTTAAACACAGCATATATTGCCTTGATGTTTATGATTTGATATTAAATAACGTAATGAGTAAATTTGTGTGGGCATGTGGGCTAAGAACGTTTCAATCATTGTGTAAGAGCATCTAAGAAGGTAAAGTAAATATCTTAGTGGCACTTTTAAACTTGCGAAACTTTTTTTTAAAAATATATTGACACGAAATATTTTTCCCATTTAGATTTCACCAATGCTTAAACATCTATATACTTTTTTCAATTTAAACTATGTTGTAGTTAACTTAATTCACTCCAAAAACCTTTTCTGCTGGAAAGTGCGAAACAAATAGGGAAATTGTGAAAAATCAATAAATAATTAATGTGAACTTGATTTCTGGGAAAAGGTCAGAGTGGAGTAAAGTTCTATTCGTTGTTCTGACCAACACTCGTGTAATGATTTGACTTTACAGTAAAGACACTAAAGCTCGTTGTAACTTTATTTCGTATAACTTCTACGCAGAGGTGAAAGTGCCACAAATCGGACGAACACCGTAGCCGAAGATTTTATGTGAAGTGCGTTACGGCAGTGAAAACTAGAAAATACACATCAACCAGGTGTTAATACAATAAATTCATATAGAGTGACCCTGGAGTTACTCTCGATCCACCCTACTTAGTTGGTTATGCTCGCCTCAGTAATGGCTCATCAACAGTGCGAAACGGAATGTCCTTGTGTGGGGAAAGTGAGTTTAGCAGGACAAACATATTTTAAACGTTTAAATTGGTTTAAAAGAAACACATTTAAATGTTCATGTCAATGATGCGGATCCTTACACAATCAACACATAATTTTATTACAATTTCAAAGGTTTTGGAGACTAAGATGCAAGAATCGAACTGATGAGACACACAAGCCCATTTCTATGGTTGACATCCTCAGTGTTGATTCATCAAGTCTCAACCAGGCACATACCAACCAAGAAACAAGGGATGGCTATGACATCTACACCGATCCCGAATCTCCAGGATATCAGGACGTGGAACCCAAAATGTCAGTTGCTAGAAATATTACAAGTGACGTTTCGAAAGGGGCGAGCGTTGAGATTGATTCCCAGCCATACTCACAATTGGACCGTGAAGGCGCTCAAAAATTGACAAAGGCTTCAGAAGAAGGTAGTGTTTATGGTCCTGAAAGTTTCATGGCAGCCACATCTAAAAGTAATCAAGACTCAGGGATAGCGTTGAAACAGGATAACTCTGGAGATGCCCTCAATTTGTATTCCATTTATGATTCCTCATTATAAGAGGCGGTGTTGTAAGATTTGTCTCACTACGGCTACAGATGTTATAGCTTGAAATGGAGAGACAGAACAATTGAGATCAAAACTTTTCGGCTAAGAGCATTCTCCAGAAGACAGGGCACAAGCTGAAACAACAAGATATAGAAAACTGTTCAGACACTTAAGTTATTTTCAACTGTTTTCTATTTCTGAGCCATTTCTTGTTTTGTCTTGTCTGCCGACGAAGGCTCTTAGTCGAAACGTTCTCCGTTTATTTTCCGTTTATTTTTTGTCATTTCAAGCTTCGACACACCTTGTTCATTTATTTTTTTTTCACACATCGTGAACACAGTCCTTCATTTACGGCATTTGACCAGTCTCTATTTAAAAGAGTCTATTATATTTTTGCTAATGGTGCGCATGCAACAAGCGTATTTTATTTTTATGTTCTTAAACAATGCACCTAAGGTTAAATATCCTCATTGAATGTCTATACTTTTATCTCTCGTATGGTCATTTTATTGAATTGGAATTCCACAAGTAAATTGTTAAATATATTATTTCAACATTTGAATTTTGTATTTTCTTTTTCATTGTTGACCTATATGTAATTTTTAAAGGTGTTGATGCTAAATCAACTATTAATAAAGTATTACACGCGTTAATTAATTCTCACAAATGTTGGGCCACTTTAATAAGCAATAAGATGCATCTTTCTAGGTGGGTCAAGATTTTAAAAATATCATTGGAATTGGTGACAATATAATGGATGACATCGTCATAGTCCCTTAAAAAAATCGATTTCTAAAATATCCCCCCCCCCAACGGGATGAGCGGGGGGGAGGGGGAAAGTGTATGTTGAGGGGGGGGGGGTTGGGGCGGTAATTAGTTTTTTTTCCCAGGGAGGTTGTTATCCTTAATTGCCTGAAACTAAAAATTCATTCATTAAAAAGGACACAGGGAACCAGCCTTGGGGATTCTATCATTTGATTTTTTTTAGGGGGGGGGGGGGGGGGAGGGGAAAGTGGTTGGTGGGGGGGGGGGGGGGTTGTGACTGTAATTAGATTTTTTTACCAGGGAAGTTGTTAGACTTAAATGCCTGAAAATAAAAATTCATTCATTAAAAAGGACACAGGGAACCAGCCTTGGGGATTCTATCAATTGATTTTTTTTGTCTGAAAAACATAAGATTTCATGGTAATTTATTTTCATTAAATGGTGCGCAGTAACTTATCTGTTGCTTCAAAGCGTAATCAGAGAAAATAAAATCTCGATTTCTGAATCTTTCTATTGCAACAACTTTGTTTGACGTTGGAAAAACAGCTCACTCTGTCTTCAAACTGTTTCTCAACTTAAACCACTCTGAGACTATTTTGTGCAACATTTCAAAACAGTTTAACACAGCTCAAGTTCCTAGGGAGTAAAAGTTGATTTTCAGGAATGAGTGCAGCACAAAGGGTGAATAGAAGCATTGGAAAAAATCTCTTCAGGGTATCCTGAGAAGTAAATACCGTAAAGTATGAGCGTTCATTAGTAATTGTTGCGACGGAATATTATGTTCATTAGTTATTAAACGCTCTTCCCTCGCTTGACTCTTTTAGTTAGTGAACGCCCTTCCCGCGCTTGTCTCTATGACGTATTTTTATGCTGATTGTGACGTATTGTCTAGACAGTATTGTGACGTATGTTTTAGTCGTGCGGCAGTCTTGAGTGGAACTTTGTGGAAGTAGGATGTGTATTATTTATGTCTGATAGCGAGCTGCGCTACATTCATGTATTTATTTGTATAGTATATACTTAGATATTAAAGTTATAATTATTATGAAAAGGACTTGAGTTTATTCAGTGTTAGTAAGAATAGTACGACGCATTCAACGTGTGAAAGAACTTGACGAACTAATCAATACAAGTAGACTTAGGAGTTGATAAATGCCTTATGGGTGGGAATATATTCTTTTTTTAAGCCTGACTTAAATCATCACAACTATGGCCTATAACAAGTCCGATCCTTGCGAGTCAATATGAGGGTTCATCTCAAAAGCAGAGAAGTTCTCTAACTTCCATCCCCAAATAGAATGTGGCAATTTAAAGACAGATTATGATACGATATACATTCCGGATTATTTCTGTAAATGTGTAAGAGATCTAGAGACACTGATTGGAAAGTGTCACGATCTTCCCAAAGTGAATAACTTCCACCAATAAGGATCGTCCTTCTTTTCACGTGAACTACTACCGCAGCAGGTATGTTAACTTAGAGCAAAGGACTCTTCGTTGTCTAGGGGTTAAAATCACAATATAAATCACAAAACTCCAGTGTCGCGATCTCGATATTACCACAGTTCAATAGCGTCGTTGTTTAGGGGATAGTTCAATTAATTTGCAAACCATTGCTTCATGTCAAATGTCTATTTATTAAACAAACAACTCCGAAATTCTAACACTCCATTATATAATTGCTCAACCCCCCTGCTATCAAAAACCATAACACCATTCACAACGTCATTTCCCATAACCAAATACGTCACACACAAAAAAAAAAACAAGCCCATAGGAACAGCTACACAAATACTCTTTACACCAAACACACACGCTCAAAACCTCTCACGATCAACTACTTTCCATACCAAGCATTCACGCCCCTGAATCTAGTTCACAACAGAAAGATATACTGATATTTGAACAAATTTACAAACGGATAATTTGATTTGACTTAATTAAACAGCTATTCTTAAACCCCCAAAACAACACGGCTGCAAGTAGTAATGATCAACTTTCTGGGGATCGTGAGATATCAGTCTGTGGACTCCGCGATTGAGATAGAGGACGTGGCTCACTGTCGGTTAGTTCCTTTACTTTTTAAACACGACGGGGATTCCGCCACACGACCTCTGTTTTAAATGTTGTTTTCTGATCGCGTTGCTCCGCAATCTGATAGCCCCCTAAATTTTGAAACGGCGCAAGGCTGCAGGTTAAAGCCTTACCTCAAAATGTCGTTGAACAACTCATCTTCACGGGCCGTGGAGCGGGACTGAAACAGTTTGTATACGCCTGAATTTCAATGATTCTCACCAACAACCACTTTCAATTTAAGGGACTGATGGTTCTTGTCAAAACCTGCTTCTACCATGAAAATAAACAAAGCTTAATAGCAGCATTTTAAAGTGTGTGGACTGGTTTTTTTAATGAATGAGTCTCAGAATATTATTTACTAGATATAGCCCGCCAAACATTGGCGGCAGCAATGCGTGAACTTCCAATATCATACATTAAAGTTACTTGACAAAACATGAACTCAAGTAACGCACATTTAAGAATCCCATTATTGGCTACACCCCCTTCCCCCATGATACGTTACTGCACACTTTTTATTTCACTCCCATGAACTATATTAATATTCTCATGTCCCGAACACTTTTAAACCGAATATTTTTTACACAATACTTAAATTGAGAAGATTTCATTTCCGAAAAGAAAATATAACGCAACAAACGTAATTGCTTTATTAAATAAATGTATTTATCATTTAGCGTAGTTATCGGGAATTATATTTTGCGCGCTAGTGAACTCATTGAACCACACTCTGGCGTATCTATAAATAGCCTGCTTGGTGTTTGACCCGTCTTGTTCGACCTTTGCTGGCGAATTATATTTTGTGGACAAAATCAGAAAATAGTATGGGTGTTTTCAGTTGACATCCTTCGGAGCTAAGGAGGCGCATGGGGGAAAGTGTATGCTCACTTTCAAGGTTCGAGGTCATGTTTATCACAGAATTGGAAGTGCGTTACCTTCATCTCAACATAATCACACATTTTCACAACATTCATTTGTTGACAACGTTGAAATAGAGGCAGCAATTCATTTTAACTTCTTTCCTGTCATAAAGTCCTGAGTAATCGATCACATTTATAAAAAAAATTAAAAATCTCATGATTACACCCATGATTACAGCATTGGAAAACTTTATGAAGAGACATGCGTTTAATTTTGTGATTCATGCGGATAGAAAACCTGCAGTTGGACATATGTGTCCATATAACGCTCCACCAACAAGCGGGGTCGGTTTGGTAATTGTGAAGCAGGAGTTTGAAAGAGAGAGATACGACATGTTTCTTCACAGTAGACACTAGAAAAATCCGATCAGCGAAATTCATCGTGTTTATGGCGCCCTCCGGTACCCTCTTTGTTTATGGCGCCCTCCAGTACCCTCTTGTGTTCTGCCGAGGAGAATTATGATTCCTGCTTCAACATTCCCCAGCGTGATTCAAATTAAAAACCAATTATAAGAAAAGGATCTGATTCTTCTTCTTCTATATCTTAAGGGCCCACGATAAATTTATTGATCATTTTGGCTCCTATGCATGTAGATGGGATTTGCAATGTTTCTGTTACTGGTGGTGATGAGGAAATTATGCACTAGGGGTTTGAAGGCTTGAGGCAATAGACACAAATGTGTCTAGTGTTGATTGTCTTGGGCAGGAATGAGCAGCTCCTATACTGGCTTCTTGCTGGTATGAGCCTGAATTGCCTGTCATGGCCTCGTCGCTGTCTATGGGGGAGAGGGACGAGTTTCTGTTTAATACCGGAACAGTGATTCAGATTCTACTCTTTCCAAATCATGGAAATACAAGATCTAAAAACTCAATCATGCTATATTTGTCATTCCCTCAAAAATCGTAGCAAATAAGGAATATTCAGATAGTTAATTAATATAAAATAATAATAATAATAATAATAAAGTTTATTTCAAAAACACGCTTCATCCCCAAAGCCTCGAAGCGCGGTGCAAAGTCAACAAAAAACAAATCTATAATTTACCACATTTAAAACAAACGCAACACTACAAAAACTAATTACAAGCATACAATGACAAAGTCTTTCTAGCCATTTCAACCCTAAACATACAGCCAATATGCATTAAATGGAAAATATGGTAGACAATCATCCCAGAAGGTGTTTGCGAAATAGATGTGTCTTTAAATCGGGTTTAAAGGACTCCAGTGTCTGATTGTTTCTTAGATCGACTGGAAGGGCGTTCCAAATTGTTGGACCAGCAAATGCGAAAGTGCGCTTTCCTTAAGTCTCAAGGCGAACACGTGGTGTCAAGAGTTTGCAACTGTCGGATGAGCGGAGTTGTCTAGTGGGTACATAAGGCGTCAGCAGCTCTTTCAGATAGGACGGCGCCAGGCCATGTAATAAGCGGTAGCACAACATTGCGATTTTGTACTCTATGCGAGCACGGACAGGCAGCCAGTGCAGCTCTCTCAGAAGTGTTTTAGCATGGTCAAACTTGCGTTTGCGGAGATCAATGCGAGCCGCGTTATTCTGTGCTATTTGAATTTTATCCAGGAGCGTAGCTGGAAGACCCACCATGAGAGCATTGCAATAGTCCATGCGTAATAGCACAAATGCAGACATCAACCTCTGTGTTGAATCAATTGTTAGGAAGGGCCTGATGTGACTAACCCTGCGCAGCTCTAGAAAAATCGCCTTGCATAGCATGTTAATGTGACTTTCCAAGGTTAGTCTTCTATCTAGGTGGACACCCAGGTACCGCACTGTTTGAGCAAAGTCAATACGCACACCTGAGAGAGTAATTGATGTTGTGTTATTTGCAGATTTTTGCTTCTGAGCGGTTGCGAATGGGAGCAGCTCAGTCTTATCATCATTTAATTTGAGCTTGTTTATAGTCATCCAGAGCTTAACTGACTCCACTGTCTTCTGTGTCATACTGAGCAGCTGAGGGAACTGAGAGGGGATCACGGATTGATGAAGTTGGGTGTCGTCTGCGAACATGTGGTATTGCATGTCAAACTCATTGATCTCTGCACTCAGGGGCTGAGTGAGCCCTGGGGTACTCCAAATTCGATATTAGATTTCTTCGAGTTCAGGTCTCGAATAGCATAAATAATAGCATCATTATGATTAAGAGTTACATTTTAAAAAATTTGTAATTTATAACATGATATGGCCTCACCAGAGACAAAATAGAAATTTAAAAAATGTGTTAAATATATATTTTTTTACATTTCTTTTATTTTTTTTTAAATCAAAGTTTTGAAATGTATTGCTCAATCTCGAGTCAATGTAGGTTTAATTCTTTTTTTAAATTTCTTGACCTTAACTTTAATAAATAATCTGTTTATAAGGAGATGAAAATCTTAAAATATTTATATTATTTGCCATAAAATTATGTTCAGAGCAAATAAAATTATATGCACGCACAATTATGTATAAGAGTGCAGAATTCAAGCAGTTAGTGTTTAGCCCAGTGTAGAGAATTCGGCAGGGTAGACCTGTATATTTGGCTATGTGCATACGGTAAAATTTAGCAGTTTAAATAGTTTACATGTTTTTAATAATTGCAAAGCTCTTAGAGCTGGAAGGTAAGCGCTATATAAAAATGCCTAAATAAATAAATACATACAAATGATATTTGGAATTTGTTATTGCGACATTGTTTCAATTCCATATTCTCGTAATATTTAAATGTTTCCCTGTTAAGGCTAGTTTTGATCATTAGTACATCACCCGCAATGTATATGTAAGCTACACACATATACATAATGTGTGTGTGCTTCTTTTTGTGACAGTGTAACATATTACTGTGACTGAAGAGTATTGTTATCATGTTTACTCCTTTACTGACTGAACTTAGTGATCCACGGTGACCTAATTGTCATTTACTGTCATGTTGTCTGAATGGACTTGGTGAAATGTTTTCCTACATGTCTAAGCTTAAATGTGTGAATATTGGTTGGGTAATTGGAGTCAGTGATGGTTGGATGTGGTGTGTAAAATAAAAATAGAACAGAGAATACAATTAGGCCTACTTCATACACAGAGAACAGCCTTGAGTGCCCATATTATTTATACAATTACCACCTAGTACCCGATTAACTCTAAATCTCATAATTTTTATCGTCAAAAGTGTGTTTTCTTTTTTCTTTTTTGTGTGATGTGTGCTTTTTTTAATAACTAAAACAGCAAATGTTTTAATTTTAAAACAAATTGTTGGAGATAAACATTGATTACTCTTGCACAAGTGAAGCTTATTCCAAAGTTGTGAATATTGTTTACACGTTGCTATGAGCAACGACAGTACAAACAGGTCTGTTTAACCCTAAAAATAAAGGACGTCAACCATGCGTTAAAGGATAATGATAAATTAAGGGGTCTGAAATGATTAAAAAAATGCAAAACAAATTAATCGGTGACGCATCCAAATAGAGAACGTGAACATACAAGTACTACCATCAATAATTACAATAAGCATGAATAAGAGGTTGTGAGTTGTTGGTTTTTTTTGTTGTTTTTTAAACGGGAATATACATCAGAATGTAAAAAAAAATAATAAAAAAACTAGACCGTATGATACAGTTTTATTATAGAAAAACTCAAGCAACCACTCTGATTCAGTGTTAAAAGGGAAGTACCCGGTATTAGAACTAATTTATTGCCGGGGTGGGGGGGGGGGCTAGAGTATGGGATATACGAGACAGAGGATATGGTGTTACAAAGTTCAATAACACCAAAACCCGTCACATATCTCAATATTTTTTTTAAAAAATATGATTGTGGAGGGTCACTTCAGAACAAAGTGGTTTATCCAGTTGGCCGACAGCATTAAAGCCAGAGGCGTCCTACATGCTGTCGTGTAACCCATGGAGGAAACCGACGCTTAAACAGCAGAATTCATTTACACTATTGGGAAAGAACCACTGCCTAGAAGAGCCCAGAACGATATTATTTTCATAACACAGACTCTATTTTTAAATAATTGTAGGGTTTGTAAGACAAAAAATGGTATCAAATGAAAGATAATTGAATGGACTATATGTTTGTAAACTTACTTTTTAAGTTTAACTAAAATAAAACTACCACAAATGACATTGTTTCTTTTGTGGGCTGTAAGATTTTGCACACACAAAAATTGATTCTATAAAAGTTTGCAAACAACTGTATGATTTTGCACACGAACCAGCAAACCTTAGAGGGAACATAGGCGGTATGTTTACGGCCTGTTGCGGGTATGGAACAAGGTTCAAGAGTCATGTGCGGTCAAGATAAATGGTATTAATAGAATAGGAATACGATATTTTGAGAATTAGGGGAAAGTAAAGTGAGCAACAATAGTAACATCGCTGCTTAAATGGATTTGCGAAAATGTGTATCACCTATTGTGGATCACAAGTCATGTTAAAAAAGCAAGTTCAACAGAACCAAACATGCATAAGAAATGACCACCTGCTGATCAACAAAAAAGGATTTGACCAATGCACGTAGCTGCCAGGAGACAGAGAGCTTATGGCAATTATTGCTCACACTGACAATGCTTCTATTTTAAGTGCTGAATGGTTAGATGAGGATGATGTTGACTTGTCTGGTACCGTATATCAGTTCCGCAAACTGAAAATGATAAATCAGCTACCTTGCTCATAGTTACGCTATAATAGAGCAACACCTGGCTACTTACTGGAAAGATTATAGCAGCTAGAAACTATGCTACAATTGTCAGCTATACTGACAATAATTATATTTCTAATTCCACAAACAATGATATTTAGTCTTTAACAAACTTTTAATTGATTCTGCATTATAAAATTTAAGTGTAAAAACTTTTAAACTTGTTGATTAACACGCTAAAGATGCAATAAAATGTTTTTCCTACAATTTTTGTGTTATTAAAATAGATAAACATAAAGTAAAATGAATTTATATATTTATTTATATTTTAATTGTTTTTCTTTTTTTGCGGGGGGTTGGGGGGGTATATAAATGTTGACATAATTGCTTGGGGGGGGGCACCGAAAGTTTGATCGTTGTTGACAAGGGGGGGGGGGGGTCAAAAATTGCTTTCAAATTTTTGACGTAATTAATGGACGGCCCCTTGTATATTTGTGTAATTTAGTAATACTATCATATTTTTGTCTCATTTAGAGTTTGTAAACGAAAAGACAGTAGTGGAAAGAGTGAATTTCTATGCTAACTACACACTCTAGAATCTAAAGATATTAAATAGGAAAAAGAAGTATGACATGGTTCAATTTACTATTTGAAAACCATCCAGTGATTAATTTTATGATTCTACAATGATGACAATAAAAATGATTCTGAACATTAAATTCTGTCAGAAGTTTGTCATATATTATTTGAGGGGGCTCAAAATTTTTGTGACTATTTATTCATTCATTATTGTTTTTGGAGGTGGGGGTGATCCAAAAAACAAAATTGGCCAAATTTGCATGAATTCATTTTTTATCGGTGACCCGTTAGCTACGATATGCTGGGGCAAAGAAAATTACGTTTGCACTGTCACCATTTAATCTCGCTATGACACTGATGAAAATTTCACCAATGCAACAGGGGCGTCATTTGACCTTGGGTAAGTACCGTTCTGTGGCGCCTCCAGACTGGATTCCAGTAATAAACAACTTAACAAGCCCATCAAGTTTTGCACCCCCCCCCCATAAAAAAAACCTGAAATGACACCCCTGAAATGCAAAAGTAGCTCTCAAAAGAAATGTTAATTGATAAATAAAAATTACAAACCCAAGTTTAGTCTTTAGCCATAAGACTAAAAAAAAAATTATTTTATTAAACTGGAAATCAATCCATTTTTTACAAGTTGCTGAATGTTAGTACAAATGCAAGCTAATATTTTAGGCGAAACGAAAAACGTATGTTTTGAGGAATGAAGGCGGCAGCCGTTCAGCTCGAAAACACACCAAAATAGTGATCCAAATAAGCTTTAATAAAAAAGATTTAACAGTTCAGGCAGATAAACAAAACATGACAATACAAAAACTTGTTAAACGAATACTTAACCGTATGCATATCTCCCTTTTTAGACAAGAATCATCGTCGTACCCCCACCATCGTCAGGGTCAAGATCAGGTAGGCCGCTAGGCTAAGCCACTACTAACGGCTAAACTTTACTTACTACTAAACTCAAAGAAGACTAAGATTAAGATGAAGGGCTAATGCTAATGCAGATAATTGTTGCCATTAGGGATACATTTAGAGGTTAGGTTTGGGGCTTAGGGATACATTAGGGTTCAGATTAGTTTAGGGCACAGTACATTTAAATTTAGACTATGAATCATTTAGGGTTCAGGTTATTTTTAGTGACAGTGAATTGTAAAAGTTCACAGGTCGTGGCAACCAAGAAGGCGGATGTGTGAGACGTCATGCCACCAATTGTCTGCATTTACCTGATGAAGAGTTGAGATTTCTTAAGGAGTTAATACTTACGACTTCGATTATGGACTATTATTGACTATTAGCATTGCCCCAAAAAAATCAACACTGTCAACACACATAAGATTAGAAAGAATCCTGATTTATAGTATTGACAATTTGTTTCTAAATTAATTATCTTATTTACTAACCTAAACTTACTTAATTTAAACTTATTTATTAAAATTAAGTTAAGTCGGAGTGTAATTTTAAGAAAGGCTAGGTAGGCGTCACACGTAGAGCAAAAGACTTCCTTAGAGTTAGACATCATTAGAAGAGTCAAGACTACTAAAAAGCAAAGGACTTTAAAAGAGTTATAATTTTCTTTTTTTAAATCATTTTGTTTCAAGGCTCTGCAATAATAAATAATTATTAATTAGTTGTATAGTTAATATAGGCCTAGCCCTATACTATGAGCCTGACTTCGTGCCCATGAGCATGGGTGGCCACCCCATTCCACTTGAATTTTTGGTACAGGTGGTTTTTCAGTAGGTTTGCAGTTGCAGGCTGGAACAGTGAAATATATTTTTTTTAAAATGATTTTAAAGAAATGTTTAATGGATGTCTCAGATAAAGGTGAATACTTTTTTTATACTGCATCTAAAGCTGATGTGTTCCTTTTATTTTATTAAATTTTAAAAATAGATACATAGGATAGTGGATCACTTTGCTTCTATAAATGAAACTGCAGGTAAAAAAGTTTTGGAACTTGCAGATAATCATTATGTCAATTATTACAACCTTAGGGGGCATCCTTAAATGAGGGCACACTATGTAGGCTGATTTTTACCCCCTCCCCCATCCACTATGTCATGTGTTTGTTACAAAGGTTAGAAACCCTCATAATACATTGCCACACATTTTCAACCTCCCCAACCCCAAATGTGTGATTTCATTTATGGATGGCCCCTTGTCCTTAAAGGAATTATTATGAAAACAAAACATGTTTGTTGATGGCCTTAAAATGAAGCTTATTATTGTTATAAATACTAATATAAATAATAATGCTGAGTTTAACTTATAAATTTATAGGCCTAATGGTTTTGTGGATTTTAGTTTGCTTACAGATGTTTTGTTTCAAAGTCAAAATTTCAAGAAATAACAGATGATGTTAAATTTGAAGATGAAGAAAAGATTTTGAATCGCCTAAATAATTTTACTTCAGAACAATTTAGGTAGGTCAGCTATTCATTCAAGTGATGGTTCTCAACCTTTTTGACTTACTGAGCCCTTATAAAATCAATTTCTGTTGGGGAGCACTTTCACTTACCCTATGTCTTACAAGTTTATAGTGTTTAGGAGTTTCCTGAAGTGGCCATGGAGCACCTTGAAGCTTCATGTACCACAAATTGGGAACCACTGCATTGAAGTGAAAATCAAACTTAAATGTATCAGAATAACTTAATTTTTAGTATTTATTTTGCAAGTATGTCTTTATGATAAATTCTTTTGCATTGTAAAATTAATATTTATATACATTTATAGTAATTATATTCTGTAAGCAACACACTCTCTTTACTATAATATGCTAATGTCCTGTGGCATTATTATGTTTATGGATTCATAAGATTTTTGTTTACGATCTTTTATTGTAGATTTTGATTATTTTTCTACTATATTCCCACTTTTAATATTTTTTATAAATATATATTCTATTTTCATTATTTTTAATTTAAAACTTGTCTTTCCAGACATCAAATGCAGGTCACGTTTGCATTGTCTGAGGAACTTTGCAAACACAGAGAAGCTAATGGACCATATTTAACATTGCTTGATCTCAAGAAAGTAAAAAGTGTGGGTCCTCAAAGATTTATTGAGTTATGTAATAGGCTGAAATCAGAACCCTTGGAAGCCCCAAGTGGGAATAGTGCAAAGAAAGAACGAATTAAGCAAAAGAGTGAAATACCAGCGGAAAAATATTTCACACCTGAACCTGATTCAGAATTTTTAAAGGTATTTGTAATTCATTAAGTAGTTCATGGAAGTCTTTGAAAGTAACATTATTATATTAATAATACATACAGTTGTAGGAAAACTAGCCAAGACTTCTGGGCAGAAAAGAAAGCACTGTAATATACTGAATTTAAAGTGTCAGAATTCCTAACAAAAGTTAACTTTAATTATCCACGCTGTACAAAAAAGTATTTAAAAAATGAAGGAATTACAAGCCAAATTTATCATTGAGTTATTTATTGCCAAACAACATATGTCAATATTTTAATTATTCCTTTTTTTTGACTAGTCAATTTCAACAGTAACAAGTTTAGCAGTGTGTATAGATGGTGTATATTATACACATATGTCTAAAGATCTTAAGGTGCATGATTGGAATCATATTGCTTTACCAGGATCTGATCACCACAAGCTCCCTGCATTTCAAATTTTGCAGCAGGTAAGGAAGAATTAACCAAACAAAAATTAAGAAATTAAAACTTAACATAACATAATAATTAATGACACATATTCAAATTAACATTATCCAAAGTAACTTTTTACTGTTTTTTAATAGAAGTGAAATAATAATCTATATTTTTATTAAAAAAATGAAAGTTTAAATTAATGTTATTGGCTAACATACAAATAATATTGCATGAGCTCTATATAATATATGCATTTACTTAATATGTAAAAAAGCTAATGTGTAATAGCTTTAATGAGGTTTCATTTTTTTTCAAAACTAATCTATTTTAAGCTGTACATCTGTCAACTATTTCCCATGTGAATGTTTTTTATTGACTCTAATGTTTCACTTTCTTTCTAGGCTCTGTCCATTGTTGATAAGCTCCCTAAGTCAAGTATCTATTTAAATGAAAGTTCCTTTCATAGAAAACCCAACCCCGCCAACATGCCATCACTAATCTTCATTGCACAGCTTCAAATGGCACTCCAGGTCCTACTTAACAAAGACCTCAAAGAGACCCAGCAGCATAAAGTTTTTGCTGTGAAGAATACCTTCATCATTAAAGCCCTCGATCTTCGTGTCGGCGGAGAGAGAATCAGTGGTCAACATATCATCAAACTTATTGAAGACGAACAGTATCACGATAAAGTATCAATGGACCCTGAACTTTGGCAGCACTATCACATGCTTGCTAATCAAATCCTCAGGGAAAGATATTCTAACTGTTTGCTGATGGCTTTAGTCTTTTGGCAGAAGTTTGTGAACAAGTCGCTGAGTAATGAGGGTGGGACTGATATGTTAAATAATTAGATAAACAGAAATAATTCTGAAAATATTTATGTACAAATTACAAACTATTAAGTGTGGCAATTAGGGTATCCATCTAATGTAACAGTGTGACATTCTTTAATTTATTTACTTTAAAGAAATAAAAAGGAATTTTGATATTTTAAACTTTTATTGTCTGCTTTATTATTAAACACCACACACTGTAAAACCATTTTGTTCTTTTCTACTATCTTTTTATATTAGTTTAGGTTGGGTTGAATATTATATTCAAATGCTTACAGTTATATCTCTGTTTCTTGGAATGCTGCAGAAATGATATTAGTCATTCAATGTCTTCAGAAACCTATCAAAATTACATGGAGCCTTGATTTACCCATGCAAAACATATATGGTTAATATATGACTCTGAAGTGAAAACAATATTATTCAATATGGCAGCATATCAAGAAAAAGCTGTCATTTTTATTTTTTAACTGTTTTTGTTGGTACGTGAGTACTTGTCGATGTTGAAAAAAAAAAGTGGAAGTAAATTAGTAATAGAGACAACTACTAAGAACTTATAAAACTTAAAATTCTGTTATGGGGTCATCCATAAAAGACGTCCAAACAAAAGGGGGGAGGGGGGTTCAGCAAAAAGTGGACTAAAGTGGACAAAGTGGGGGGGGGGGT